ACAGAAGAAACAGTAACTGCTGAAGAAGATTGACAGAAGCTTACAGAAAACAAGAGAACAAAATTACATGTAACGGTTGTAATAATATATATGTTATAACTGCAAGATAAGTATTAACCATTTAAGGCGCATTATCCCAATTCGGTCAAAACACTGAAGAAACGAAGCGGTCGGACAGATTTACACAGAATGTAATAGTAGCGTACGATAAATTAAACCGATTAAGGGTCAAAGGAGTGGTTAAAACACAGCCGCAGAAATAGCATACAGCAGGGCAAAGACAAAGCTCAGAAATGGAATCAAAAAAAATGAAGTAGGTCTTCTTTATAAAGGTACAAGAAAACCTTTGGGAAGATCTACAAGATGACCAGAAAAAACCCAACGAAAGTCTAAAAAAAGAATGAAAGCAGAGAGGCCGTTGGCACTCTCTTGCTCATTTACCCACACCTTGTTTGCACCACTTATGAAAAAGTTAACTTTCCCTTTAATCTTTGTCAAGGACGTGCTAGCGGCCACTCACTACTAAGGGCTTTACGTTCAGCATTAACACAAGGGTCTCTTAGAAGTCTATAGTCGGGCTTCTCATATGAAATGTCGCCTATGACTCGGGTTCTTCGACCTCCCGACTTACCTTTGGGAACGGAGCTCTGGTTTGCACTAATGACTAGACTGTTATGCTAGAAACACTTAAACTAAGCACCCATCATGATAGCAATTGGATGAGAATGGACCGGATTTGAGCTATTACCGAATCGGAGTGATCAAATCGGAAAAAAACGGAAATCCTCTTAATTGGAAGACAAAAATGTACAGAGCTGAAGATTACTGTGAAAGAGAAGAAAAACAGGTCATCAGCCTTGACCAGAACACCAGGGTACTGGCACACATGCGTTACCCAGTTGCCACAGTAGAAAAACTTTCAACACGATTGACAGAAATCATGCCTGACATCTATGGACCGTAGTAAGATAAATGGAGGCTTTTTATTGCAATGAAGATTTCCATAACTCTCAACGGGGCTTTTTTTTTGTGTTTACAAGATCGTTTAGGAGCAAAAACCTTAAAAAAATAGGTTTATAAGACTCAAAGCACACAAGAACTCAAAGTAACCCAAACGAATTGCTCAGGCAGCACAGTCCTGTACTGACAGGATTAATATCCTGAGACCTAAAGGCAAAACAGAAACAAGCATATGGACAGATCCACTAATGAATCCATAGAGAGGGACACTAGACAGATAATAAGACGAATAGTGGGTAGTCACCCCTTGGTTCGCGTCAGAATTCAGCAGTTTCTTCTGTCCGCATAAAATAGAAAAATCTGTATCAAATTCCTGCGTGCTTTGTCCTGAAGGTACAGAAGATACTTTTCATCACACGTTTGCCCACTGCTTGGTACGGAGAAACACGCGTACAGCGACTCCAGCTTTGTGGTTACTCTCACAGACGGTGTTCGGGGCTTCACAAACACATGTCTGTGCCAAAAAAAAAACTTTATAAAATAAAGGGATATTGTGGTCTATCAGATATACTCAAACACTCCATAATAAAGACGTTTTTCAAGTTAAGTATTTTAGATACTTGGCTTGTAGACTACCTTTATCATGCGTTCTAGCTGCCTGTAAAAGTTTACATGTAACATCAAACAAAAAATCTGCTTTTTTGCCAATAAAATCATTGCTAATTGCTTTCGAGGAAAATATGTTAAAATAGTTAATGGATCTAGTAACTTGGGCCAGGTCTTGTGTTTGCTGTAGTGTATCCCGTATGTTTTTAATAATATATATTCATATGTAGTCAATAAAAGAAAGATGGCCCCGTCAATTTAATTGACCTTATAAGCTCTGTTTTTTTTTAATTTAATGTTTCCACTATTATATAAAAAAAAAAATCCCTTCATTTCTGAGAATAGTTTTTCTCCATTTGTGGTTGACGCTATGCTTAATTTCACTATCTTAGATTTCGATGTAAAGATTTCAGCAGAGTGTTGAATGAAGCTTTTTCACAGAAGCCCGGATTACTTAAGTGACCTGTGCTTGGAGTATTAACTGGGGCCAAACATTAAATCCTGTATTTATGCATGGTACTCATAGAAGCTAGTCTCAGTCTCCGAAAATTTTTCTACTCGTGTGTCCATAAAAAGAACATACGTGTGTTTCGAGACAGCCCTGCTTATACGCGGATGCCGAAGGTCAGAAACAGGCCCAAACTAAGCGGCTTGCCGGTACGGCAACCGGTCGGTCGATTATACGCCGTCCACACATTGTTATCGCATTCGGCTTAATTGAGTGTATCTATGTAAATGATTAGTACAACATCAACATAATTATTATTAATAATACTAAACAAACTCTTAAATATATATTTGGATTGGGCAAATTGTTGCGCTTGAATATTTATTGAAATTAAGCTTAGATATCTATAAAGAATGTCCATATGGGTTGCGCGGCTTTAAGATTCGAAACTCTACCTGCGTGTCATGAAAGCATACGGCGCACGCACGTTCAAATGCATATACTACTATGTACTCTTGAGCGACAGCAGTAAATGAGCAGGTCATGAAAGCAATAATGGGTGCGTTTACAAGGAAACTATCTGCAGCCGCCGTCGATGGAGGGATAGCAAACCCAAGTGGACCGCTGACTTGACGGCCAAGATTATTTCGCCACGATTACCAGATGCACGGAGAGCTCGTCCTTTTCCCTCGTCCAGGTCATGCGCAAAATGCAGTTGCAATATTATAGGAGTTAATATATATATTTGTAAGGATAAAAAATCAATAGGCGTAAATGCATTTTTATTGGGTTGTGTAATTTGTATTTTATGCTGGCAACTATAGAGAGATTCAACGCACTGATAACGAAGGTATGTTTGATATAAAATCGAGGGCTTTTCGAACACTACGATACGATATTTTAGATGGATCCATAACAAACATGTAACGTCCCATCAAACTGTCTAATTGGTCTAGTTAATAAAATGTAGTAATGTATATAGTGTCGGTATACAATATCTTTCAGCTTCCGCGTTCAAAATTTCCCATCAATCCGTGTGATGGCCTACAAGCAGTTTGTTTGTCCAACTGAATCAAAGGCCATGAACATCTGATATACAACAATTACAGTGATTTTACAGTTGTCAAGGGACAGATAAAGAGTACTTCTCTGTCTACACAGATTGTACCGTATAATGAAAGGTAACCTTCAATGCAAACTACTTTTTAGAATGCACGCACAAGTTGAGAAGTGTGATTAGGGTCGACCAGCGATCCCCTTTACGTCTGCCTTCATCTGAATTGAGTTGAAGTTGTTTTTTCTTTCCAGTTACATAAAAAGGCTGCATTTTTAAGGCGGCCACCCAGGGCCGACGACCCTGAGGGAGAAGGGTAAATCTCCGATGGGTCGAGATAGGACAGATTGTTTTCAAGTAATTTTAGGTGACCAATTGACCTACAGTTTATTGATATGTTTAGCAGAATTATTTACGAAGACATTTTCTTCATTTTTTTCTGGTCAAAGTCGCGTATTTTTCTCAGTTTTAAATTTGCCCATATTGGGGCCACATAGTAGTGCTCGAAATAATATTGCTTATTTCGAAGCATGTTAGGACCTGTCAGGACAAAGACCTCTCGACTATCCAGTTATTCTAATAATACCTATGGGTTGATTTTGGGTTGGTTTACCTCAGTAACTTTGAAGCTAGAAACTGATTTGTCGAAATATCTGTTGTCGTTCATTTACAACTCAAGTGTTGCAATGCAACAGCTTCGCACAAGTGGACGATTTTCCATATAATTTTTCAATAGATTCATATTTTCTTCTAAACGATTTTCGACCGTCCTATCTTTGCGCATTCGAAATTTCTAAGAACTATCGCTGGATCCATGAAAGCATTACCACTTACTTAGAATTTTCAGACTATATTGGCGTTCAGTAAAAGGTTCAGTACACTTGCCCTGGCCTAGAAGCATAGCTACATCCTGTAGCATGAAGAACATCCTTGAAGCAAGAAACATACGCGAACTATCAGACTTCGACAAGTCTGGACCTGTGGACCGCCGTTATATATTTGGATTTATTACTATTTCAATGCAAATGCCGGCCATGACGCTAAGACTCTGGTTTTTTACAACACAATAACTGGGATATGTCAATGCGTTTGGCATTATGATCGAAAAGGGGTTTTAGCAAAATATGGCAACGCTAACATACCAGTCATCGATATGCTTCGGCATTGCTTGTTCGGTGATTATGACCCATTGAATTTTCTACTACAGTGGATCACAAGGAAGATTAACAAACGCCATACACACTAATAAAGATAAAGGTAAGAGCAGCGACAGTTTGAGAAGGATTCATATTTGAAAAAAATATCTTCTGGTTATTTTCGAGCAAAGGCGGAACGTTCGTTACCCATCTGCTGTCTCTAGTGGTAGCTACTACATATACGCTAGACAAAATCCTCTTTCCTCCTTTTATAAGTAATGAGTGCACTATCGTAAATAGAAGCCCAAGCGATGCAGTACACAGGCTGTAATGACCTTTTGAACTGTAGTGTACGTTGGCGACCCACTGTCCCTCGGGCATTGGGTCAATCAAGTTAGACAGATAATTATATGGCAGATAAATGAAGGAAGAAATCATCAGCAGTAATATTGACACGATATGGGCGTACCCTCTTCATGTATATCTCTACATAACATATATAACAATGAGCACTAGCTTTCGAAAGCTAAAAACATTTAACCAGGTCATATGATATTATTTTGCGCCTTAGCCGCGTTCGTATCGGCGTGTCTTTTACCTCCAGCACCAAAGGCTCCGGGATAACATTTGCAGCGGGGCAAAACTGCACACGTTATGGATTACTTTGGTATTTTCTATGAAATGGAAATTAATTGACACGTTTTGTAATTCTTACTTTCGCTTCGCCTGTTACCAAGGCCACCGCTGAAACTAACGGAGATGAAATACGTTGCTATCTTAACTTGGTGTTACCTACCTTCTGGTGTACGGAGTATTCACAGCGAACTTTACGAGTGTCATCGATGTTCAACTTAACTATGATCCCATAGAAATAGGCGACACCGTTAAAAAAAGCGATACTAATTGGTGCTGGCCGACCTACAACTAGCAACTAAGAGCGATATAGTTACAGTATGTCTATTACTGTTCATATTATTGGAAAAGTCTTACCTTACTAACCCATTGAGAACATAATAACCGTTATCTCATGACCGATAACATTTGTTACTCTTTCCTGTTCCTTAAAGGGCTCCGGTTCCACTAACAAAGCGTAGAGTCATTCACTTAACTATTATATATAAATCGAATGTGATGAAGACTGCCACCCGATTGTTTTATGCGGTTGTTTCTTCTAGCTATAAATTGGGTACTAGTAATTATCTACCGCTAGATGATTAAATCGCTAATTTGCTATGACCAGTTGTCACCTTTTTACGTCGTTTAGTTGTTTTTTTCTTCTATAGATCAGTTTTACAACTAGCATAGGAGCCAGCAGAAGAAACATCTACCCAGACGAATAGACGACTATCTCGATATCAGCTTTTATGGTCACATTACGTTATCCACAGCCGTCACCATTTCTTCTGGCCGAGATCAGGTGGATAATACCGCCATGTTGACTATCTTATCAATGATTTAATGTCACCCTGATAATTACAGTGGCTCCCTTGCCCTTAGCTGGCCCGTGCTCACGAGTTAGCGGTATTTCTATTGTGCCATATTTCACTTCTTCCGTAGGATAATAACAATATTATATCTGTGCGTATCAGCCCTAGCAGCAGTTTCTGAAGCGCGACAAATGGCTCTTTATGATCGAAAACCAAGCTTCCACTGCCAAATCACTAGACATTTGCTATAGAATGGCTGTCATACAAATGCGCTGGCAAACCCTGATTTTGTTCATTCCTGAACGACTCTCAAATTGTTGTATAGAACAATAGATCCAGACGTAACTACTAGTATACAGTAAGATCTTCGTGGCTTCTCTAATTTTCTTTACTGACTCTACTGCTACCTACACCTAATATCACCTGGGGCCTTCGTTCAGATTCGAAACTGTCGGCCAAAAAATGCCTGCTTCGAACTTCACAGTTTTTAACTCTGATTGTTTATTGCACCAGTAAGCCTAGTTCACTAGACATGGAAAACTGATGTGGTTGCAAAAGCAACGCAAAAAAACAGTTTATTTCTACATAAAACCTCTGAAAATGCACGTGTGTATTTATCCTTCTCGAACGCATTCAGGGAAGACAGTAACACCCAAATCAATCTCCGTAAAAAGCCCCCAGAGGGCTCACGAATCCATTTGGTATTGCTAGTTAGTGATATGTTAGTCTTATGGCGTGACTGAAGAAGTCATATCTAGTAGGCTTAAGTAAGGTAGCTTATAAGCGTTGCTTTGCCACGTTATAGACAGCCACAAATAGGTTTACTCGTACGCTTAGATAAGCATCTGAACTTCACTGAACATGGTTCCATTTAAATACGGTTTACTCTTCCTTTATACGCAGACGTAACGCCTGAGAGCATGTGCGTACAGTGCAACACGAGGCGTGTCCTTAGTCAACGGAAGAATAGCAGCTTCGTCGCAGAATGTATGAATTAAACGGGTCCGAAGAGCCATAGCATTGTCCTTATTGTTTGCCAGCTCTACATACTGATACAATTAAGAAATATTAACTGCTACAACTCGCTCCCGCTATGGCATGACACGATGTGGCCTAATCATTCACCGACATCGCCTTACGTAGTGCTGGATATTTTTAATGCACGTCAATAGTCAGCGGAAGCAGCTGATCGTGGCAAGGCAGTACAACCATGACAGCCGCCGTACCGCGTTCAAAATCCAATGTATGTCGTACTACCATGACCTAGTATGGTCGATACAAGTGAATCCGAAGTTTTGTATATATTACTGTCACCCGAAGTCCGCTGTTGCTTGTCGTATCAGTCCGCCACAGCGGAACATTTGCATTCGCTCATTAATCACAACGCGAAACAAGGCCACGGCAAGCATTGCCACCCCATCTTTTATTTTATGCCCATATTTCTCTGACACTAATGTGTTATCATCTATTGTATAGAAGTGTTGCCATTCATTCAGATCAAATTTTACTCGCCCCATGGGCTGGCTTACTGAAGAAACAAACACAGCCAAACGAAAAAAAAATATGCAATATGCTAATGTAATACCAGCGCTTGTTGTTTCCTATTTAACGTCGATCAGCATCACGTATATATCAATACGTTCGTATAAATTATAGAATATATTTCCTCCATCGTTCCTCCATTTTACTGCGCTTTCATCAAGCGGAAGTTCAACAACGATTTGTCGTTATCGTATTGAATTTGTAAATACATTAGATACCGCTATTGGGGTGCGAAAATCGATAAGGGAGCAGCTTATCACGAGCATAAAAAGCTTGAGTGGAGCAGAAAAAAAAAACACGCAATAGAATCACACGATAATTGTATTACTTATTGTCAATAGCTTGCGTTTTCATTAGGACAATCAATTTGCCATCAACTGGGCCGAAGTGCGCAAAAATCATTATCTTGTTTCATTGCCAGGGGTGAAGGAGCGGCAGCAGGAGAACTTGTGAAAGCCTGCGCATGCTTTCTCTTTTGATTAATGCGTCTGAGCATAGGTTTACAAGAACTTTACTAATAGTATAGTTACTTCCAAAGGCACAATGCGGCCTTTGGAATAGCCAGACATAGCTAAATGTGGACAAAAGTAAAACTAAATATATATATATATATATAGCCGGCGTATAACTGTAGTAAACAACGTGCTAATCATGAATCTTATATGAGACTAATATAATATCTTTTTTCTCTTGATTTTTTTCATTTAAACGAATACATTGAAGAGTGTTCACACAAGGAGACTGATAAGCGCAGTGACAGGTGTGTGTTGTTATCAAAAAAGATCAATATTACGAGCCAATGATCCTAAACCTATGTATATATACTAGAGTGAAAATATTTAACTAAAATCGTCTCTGTATATCTGCTATCGAAGATCCCTGAAATAATAGTTTGGGGCAACCTAACAGCATTAACGGAAATTCCTGAAATGAATACCTGATGCCTCAATGTCATGTTCAACTGATATTAGTACGAAACAGGGTTTTGCCTCTGTTGGCTTTCCTGAACAGCTTTCTTTTGGCTGTTACCTATATATGCAACTGTATTAGCTAGTATTTTGGTCACTCTTCTGAAAGAGCAGATGAAGTAGTCTAGTATAGACATAGCAGCTAGACCGGCAAACGAAAAATATAGTTAAGTTTCAGAACGCTTAATCTGGATGCCAGCTCTCCCGTTCAATGGTGCCAGATATAAAACTCTGAACATTTAGTATGTTTCCTTTTAATATTGTTGATTTGTGAGGGCTTGCGGTGGGAACTAATTGTCGTTTGGTGTACAGGTACGTTAGAAATAGCCATATCTCTGAATTGACTCTGGAAACGAAACTCCCAATTTTTAGGCCATGCACCACTAACAAATTTACCTAGTAGGATGGCACTTTATTCACAATCAACTGTACAATAGATCCTCTAGTGCGTTTACGTCTAAGGTTAGCGTTTTGACTATAGTACAGGCAATATGAAGGTTTAGCACCTTTTTTGTATTGGGTCGATGAAACCCAACATAAATCGAGCCGACTTCCCGAGGTTTGTAAAACCATCCCTATTTTATCAATACCCTTATAGTTTTCTGCATATTGGCAGCGTAATTTTGTTGAGGCAGGTCGAGAATACAGCGGACTTACTAATTATAGAGCTTAGTTAATTAATAAATAATATATGGTTTAACCGATGCTGCAGTTTACAGAGTTACAAAACATAACCTAATAAAATGATTACTATAATGTACTAATTTAATTATTGTATGTATTGAACAAATGTATTAATTTTTTGATGCTAGTTAGTCTATGCGGATCCCGCTCTGCCGCCTCCGAGTTTAAAGTTTTCGGGTGATAAATAGGTCTAAAATCTGATCTTCCCGGTTAGGTTGATTGAGGCGCTTACAGCAGTCATTATCACCATAAGAATCGAAATCGATTTAGAAACCAAATGGCCATGAATGTAAATGAGTAGATTCCCGTTTTACGATCAAGGGATCAGCCTGTTCCTGAAACAATTATGAGTTTAATTCAAAGTGGAAAATGGATTAAGTAAGCCCCCCCTACCTCTTAAAGCGTAGAGAGTCCATTTGGGCACATCTTGCTTTTGCATGGAAAGTTTTTGAAAAAATCCTTATAATAATAATAACAACAACGACAATAAAAGCGTTCGATAAGCCAGTTATTCCGCGTTGAAAGAAGTGAACAGTGTTGAATGCTTAGAGGAATCTTGGTCATTGATGAGGAAATAGTAGGAGGAAGATATAACATAGACAGACAAGTTGTTTTCGTGAAGTAATTGCATGAGCTTTTCTGCGAATGGAAGTTCTGGAAGCGGTCATTGGAACTAAGTCAATTTCGACTACGCGTTCCGAATATTATTCAAAGAAGCTCTGCGTATACCATTTAGTTTAAAGGATATGAACGTTCTATACTTTTCAATATTTGTTAAAAACAGCTAGTGCTAAATTACGCCAGCATGTTAACATATATAAGGATATGTATAAATTTTAGAACAATGCTCTAGAACATTCAGAACGCTGAACAGAAAGGTACCAAGCAAATCATCTTGTGACACAAATTCATCAAGTTCAGAGATATAGGATACCTTGTATTGTTATAAGCTAGTGAACCCAATAGCCGTGATACAAAACTACTATTGAGAATGACTTTCATCGGTAAGCTTATCGGTAGCCGTTGCCGTCTCATAACTACCCGGTACGTAGAATGATTGGCTTCAAATCCGTGGGCTAAACCCCGATCAAACCCCTTTAAACGAAGTACACTTTCCCGTCTCTTCAGCTCCCTCAGGGCGTATTTACATAAATCTATTCTAATTTACGACAATCAACCGATAGACTAAGCCGCCACAACCTAGCTGATCTATGTTTTTTTTTATATGTATCATCGTTATACAAGCAGAAGCACATATCGCTGACTGTAGCGTAATATACGTGATCAGACCTGATTTAAACAACAGTATCGCCTAATAACTGACGGCTTCACAATAACAGGCAGACGATTTTTTTATCTGCCTTTACGCATTTTCTCGTTTGCAAATCGCTAACTAATTTTATGCCACCAAAAGCTCTTTCTCTGTCGCGGCTCAATCGTTCTGCTCAAATCAACAATAGATAATTGCGCTTTATTTACAAACTGAAAATTATAAAAACGCGCGCAATTTTTCAAACGGACTGTTGAAACTCATTTTGAAATAAGCAACGAAATTTATGATCAAAAAGAATCAAATTAGCACAGTTTCAATCTCTCTTGTTCATTTTCGGTCCGTTATTTTTTAGCAATTTTCTTAAGCATTATGTATCTATCAATCGGCTATTCACTGCTTCTTATTTTTTTGTCTCATTTTTGATTCTCGATTTAGAGCTATCTCTAATTCTGCATATTGTTTTTAGTCCACCAAGCACTGGAATTGTCACATTTTCGAATTGTTGATTAGATAGAAGTTTTTAGCCCGAATCAAATAACAGCATTAAGCATGCGTGTGCCTTTCAGGTTAGCTGTTTTAAGTTTACCTTCGGATTTTCACCCGGACGATCACATGCCTACAAAAAGCTCAATTTTTACCTTAATCAAAAGGCCAGACTTAACGACGTCTAATTTTTATATATCGCTAAATACAAATATTGTAAGGGAAAGCCTAGTATTGTTTATTATGAATGTTAGTAATGTAACAATGATGGCGTAGTGTGTTATAGCGACAAAAGGTGATCACTGTGGGCCATTGTAGAAAACGAAAACAATGTATACTGACTGTGAGACAAATAAGTCCTCTTCAATTTTAGACTGTTGTTCAGTCTGCTATTTCGGTTACGGGTCATCAATGTAGCGACGTCACTTCTCTACTGACCAACCTCAGGCCGGTGAGATCTCACGCAAAGCTGCCACTCGTTTGCTCGAATGTTCCCCTGTTACCTGACCTACCCGTGCTAAGGACAATATAGATCAGTACCTCTATTCGACTGCTTCCAAAGAACAAACGAAAATTTTGTATGACATCCGGTTATTCAGAAAAGCGTCTGCTAGCTTACTCTTCACCCATCATTTACCACAGCAACAGCTCAGTTGATTGGATTACTTCAACGGGTAGTTGATACTAACGCTCGATGACGTCAACTCCTGTTCCGATGCGCTCGCACTCCGCTCAGATCTAGTTTCCTAGATAGATCGCAACGATAAACTCTCGGCAGAGGCACACTTTGAAGTAAGTAAGTTAGAAAAAAGTAATCTTTTGTATTGAATAACTCTGCTTTAATCCTAGGCTATCTGCAAGCAATAATACGTCTTTTCGTACTGTTACGGGCTGATGTTAGTGAGCCATATTTGTTTCCCGGCTGTGCAATCTAATCTTCAGGGTACAGGGTTACACCTGAGGCCGCTTTAACAGCAAGTCTACGTAAAGCATATCGATTGCACAAGAAGATTCAAGCAAGCACGAGAAGACTGCACTTTTTAGCCAGAAACTGACTCGTATTCGTTTGACTGTATTTCAAAGCTTACGAAATCGAGATATGTATCGAGCTAATTTTTAGCTGACAACATTTATGGTAAGCGTGAAATCACAATGCCCGCTACGAGTATGAAAGGCTATTTATTAATTCAGCTTAACAGAGCCGTTCATTGGCAGCAACTTCGACATCTATATAATTCACTAACGTAATTTTGTTTTAAAATCCGTGATCGGTTCTCCTCGAACGCCGAAAACAATATTGACAAGTTTTTTTATACTACGTAATGTTCATGTTTGACTGGCAACGTTCAGATGGACAGCTCAAATTTACTTCGGTGGCAGTGGTAGCCTCGCCTTCCGTGGTCTAGCTAGCGAACTCCAACATGTCGACGGCCCACCCTTCCCCTATTAGTAACGTAAAACGAATTGCAACAAGACGCACGAGCAATGATATGTCCTTAGCACCCTCATCCGTACCAGTACGAACTTCACAATTCTGCAAACACCCAAAAAGTACTCGGTGGAAATTTGTTTGATGAGCTTCGCAGTCCTGCTGCAACGATACAAAGCGGTTCATTTGACAAAATATTCTTAGTATTTGAAAATAATTATATACTAAACAAAACTAATCAGATTTAATCAAGACCATGCAGTCATGACGATAGTAGAAGAAATGCTCTAAACTTCTGCATGTAAGAGAAACTCTAACTGCACCGCATAACAAATTTCTATAGCTAGTTCAGGTAGCCGACAGAGCGGTAAATGTAGAAATTGCTCGCAGTTAATGAACTAATTATAGAAGGATAACAATTAAATAAAATTTATTCGATATCTGGATTTTATTAGCATATTGCAGCGTAGGTCGGCTGTCCTACGACAGCTCGCTAATTTACACGACTGTCGACCTACACGATTGCCTCCAAGGAAACTTCGGCGCTAATTTCCCTTTGAAGCACCCGATACAAAAACTGAGAGACTCCTGTCTTAGCTCGCCGGCCGAACTCAAACAGCAATAACGGAATTTAGACACGACTCCCAGATTTCAGGAGGATAAGTTGTCCATCTGGCCGCACAGGTACACATCTGGCTGTCTGCCAGGATTTAAAGGCGTCTACGAGAAACGATCTGCAGCCTAGAAATGTCAAAATGGCCACGAATATTTTAGTAGACATGGTAAAAACTGATTTACCGGAGCTAACCGTTCTACCTATAGCCGACCCTTCAAGCAATAATGCTCGGAGTGCTCAATCGACTCCAAGGTGTTGTTAACTTACTAATTTCATTGCTCGCCTTCATTGACTGTTCCGACATATTGTTATGTAAAGAGACAAAAACATGACATAATTATATTCTTGAGACAATATGTTACTATGTTATGTATGGTCCTTTCGCCCATTTATGCATCGTATGATGTATGCTGCCTCGCCAAATGCTAGTGGTTTTTATTTCGAAGAAGTTTCCTAAGCGTCTTTTGTGATCCTGATCCGTGACAAAGGCTACGAAAATGATTGCTCGAAAAGTGGAAATCCGTCTGCACAGGATCCGTAGAATATGGAGGATGTGATAAAATTTTCCATTGAAACTGCTCACTCAGGTGAACAATTTCAACTTTAGGGCCTGGCTTCCCTCCGAAGCCTCTCGTTCCGGTTGCTGATTCTTATTGACGTACTGATTCCGTTTACCGGTGTCACTTGTCGTTGTGACCATGCGACGCTCTACATCAGGTAAGGCTGTGAGATGCATCGTTAACCCGTAATTCCGTGTTGAATTTGGAGAGTTTGTGAGGTTCCCAACGTACGAACTTCTATACATACCTAAAGGACTTCAAGTGACTAATAACGGTCGTACAGCAGCAGACCATCTTTCTGGCAAATACCCGAATTGTTTGTTGGCCATTTTGCTTCAAAAGCGCCTTCAGATGGCTGTCATCAAACTCAGACAACCGGTCAGTAGATTTCCCTAGGCTTCGAATAGCATTTCTGAATCTAGTAAAATCTAGGAGCAGTCCTTTTAGCGACAATATCGTTATCTCGTGCAATACAAACGCCACAGGCTGTCTCGGGTAGCTTTTCGACCCTGACGAACTATATAACACAGATAGCGTCGGAAATGCTATTTGTTCATCTGCAAAAAGTTGTCTCAAGTTAAAATTGCACTTATAATACAATACCAGTATGCTGGGAGTGCCGACAAAGCCCGTACTAAGTGTGTGTCAGTACAGAAGTAAACGACAAGTGAGAGACAAGGGGATTTTTTTCCGAAAAAAAGCGCGAGAACTTTTGATTGCATTTAGTTTTTAGTTAACGATACATCTTCAAAATCACTTCTAAATCGGCAGAGCATTCCGCGCATGTCCCACATGAATTTAGCAGGTGATATTATTATTTTTATTACTATTCTCGTAAAAAAGTTTAGATGTTCTGATTGGCGATGTTTAGCTTCTGGTCGTCATTTATTTTACTAAACTCGGCTTGTCTATCACGTTTTTTGCTTTTTGCAGTTTCCTAATAGTCACTGCATAATTTCCAATAACCATTCTCCCTAAAAACCCAAGCTGTACTCCGTAGGTAAAATTAACTTCAGCCTGGCGGTTCGATCAACTAAAGTGTGCAATACTAACGTTATTCCGTACACTTATCTGAGACACTATGTTAATCAAAGTATGTTTAATACTACTTTCCACTGGTGTGTAAAAATAAGGCTCCTTTTATGTATATATATATATATATATATATATATATATTTATAGAGACTATATACTAACTCGTGCTTTATCAAGTCCGTATTTTACCATAACTTGCATTACAGGTGCGTTCAGTGTAAAGGCTATTGTTCTTTTTGCTCAGTTCATACCTTTGGTGAAAAAGGTCTTAAAAAAAGTATATTTCAACCGTCGCCCGAAATAGAAACCATTATGCCTCGATCCGGTAAGTTTCCTATTTTTAAATATTTTCTAGAATCGATTCTGTAGTGTTGCTAAAAACACATTTAAGATCACGCTAGCTATTATTATAAGACCACTGTTATTAAAAACTTAATTAGCTTCTCTTACACTGAGAACCATTACTCAACTTGCTTGTACCTAGAAAGTTGTCAACTTTCCTAGCCTTATCATACTTTGAAAAAGCTTTATTACTTAAGGTAGCGCTTTCTCTTCTTTTCTTTTTTTTTTTTTCAATAGTAGCATCTACTCTTATTTCGTTTGATACATTTCTTTTAGCAATTGCTATTATTGGCTATGTTTTTCTGAATATTTTCATTGCATCGATAATAGCACATCTGTTCCTGGTGCACTTATGACAGCCTGTGAATGCGTAATCTAACTTTTCCTTATCTATAACTTACATTCGGCTTTTCTCCTTTTTGTGGTCTCGCTTACCTATTTCTTCCCTTCGCAATTATCAAAATATAATAACTTTTTACAGCTTTTATTTCACTTTATTATGTACATCATCTGATCACAGATTCGGGGCTTTTTATTGGCTTAAGCAAAACGGATGCCCTATTTTTTGTTTTCTTCTCGATATGTATATTACCCTTTACATATTTTGTGCAATTTAGGCTTATATTTATCACTCCGAAATTAATATTCGTAACTTATCTAGCTCGATCTCCGCTGTTGTTATCTGTATTTGTAGCAGAATTATTTCAGTGTGCAATAAAGTTGACCCACACCTTTAAATCGACTCTACTCCTACTTTCTATTGCAGCATTTTATTTAAAATTTACGCTTGTAAATGGCAGCAGACGTACAGTGATTGTGTGTGTGTGCATGTGCACGTGTGCCGCCCACAGGGAAGCCAGTTTCTTCGATGCTAACATTTTATATACTACTTTGCATTTTGATTGCTTGCTTCGGTCCCTTAACGATAGATTCCCTATTTTGGATCTTTCAGAATATTTCCTTTATTCCTATACTATGAGTGTTTGCCTTCGTTCATTGTCTGCCGCTATGCTGGCATTTTTTTTGAGCTACAGCTAGGCCCTATTTCCATGGTCGATTATAGACGAACGCTACTTTTCCCCCTTTGAGTGGTATCATAGATTGAATTGGATTTCTATATTTTCTCCGTCGTCTGCGGGTGCAGCTATCGAGTCTGTCGATTCTCTACTGTGCGGCCGGCTTCGCGTTCCTTCTCATTGCTCGACATCTAGTCGGTTCCGTGCCTGGCAGTTCTCCGAATAATAGGGAGGACGCAGAGTTTCTTGGAGCTTTCGGATCTTTTCGCTTTTTTTTTTTTCGACGAAGCTTTGCAGACACCCGGTCACAGCGTTGGCCACAATGCCGACTTTAGTCAACCGTAAAAGCATATAATCTTTTTTGAGATTTTTGGTGACCTTTGCGCGTTCTTACATCCAATCCGCTGACTGTTGTTCGTTGCCGATATGTAACGTCTCATTGAATTCGTTTGTGCTGTAGAATGGCACACGTTAATTGCTTCTATGACCTCTTTTTTTAAATGTATTTTTATTTTTTTTTTTAGCATTGTTAACATTTAAAAGTGTTGTTTCTCTCCTTGGACATGGATGGGATTGTTGAGTCCACGATCACTAACAGCTTAATTGTGACTCGCGGCTACTTTTCCGTGATCATTGCTTATCTCTCTCCTTTTCAGCCTTCCACCCATACCCCTTTCGATCATCCCATGAGTGCGTTCATTCGTCCCTAGAGCTGCTTTCGTGTTCTTAATTTCCTTATGCCTCTGTGTTGATCTTGTGCTATTGATCTTTCATGTTACTGCTTCTGTACAGTGCTTTCAGCATCTCTGTCATCGTAGCTACCGTATATGAAACCTGAATTATTTAGTTTTTTGTGTCTATTCCACCTGTTACCTATTGTACACGTCTTTCCTGCAATTGTCTGTTGACCCTTTTTGCGCCATGTGGTTCTCCATCAGTCGATTTACGCTAGTTTTTTACTCTTTGGGGTCGTCAGATTTTTCGTCTTAGTAGAACATAAACATGTAGTAGCAATTGCGCTATTTTCATTATTGGACCTTGCAATGATTTATTGCAGAGACGACAGATATTTTGATTCGTGTGACGATAGATTGTTTACGTTTTACAAAGTGGGACGCCACAAAAGATATCGTTTTGTAATTATGATGGACGCGTATACATCGTAGCTGGATCCTGACGATTGACTCCATACTGCCTAATTTGTAGATGCCGATGAACTCCAGTGTATAAGTGTTGGACGAAGTCACAGTAACCTACCCTTGTGATTTGCTTCAACGTTAAAGAGTTCCAATATCCGTTGTGGGAACGGAGATGCCTTAGCGGTCTCGTTCTTACATCTGCTGCTGTTATTGAACATCATCTCAAACCTCACCTGCACAAGTAGACCCCATGTTTAGTACGCAAACCTTTCTTCTTGTTGAGCTGTTCGATTCTGTCAAGTGTGTTCCTATTTACGTCACAAGTGTTCCTATTTACGTATATCGACACGTTTTCTCGTCAGTAATAATGCAGTAATCCTACGATTGACGGAGACGGTTAAAATCAATCATACCATAATAGAAAATATGATAATCGTAGTTTCTAAACAAAACTCATATTAATATTGAGCATTCTGTACTAGCAGGATCGTTCTTTTGCAAATAATATTCAACAAATAACACGTGCTAACTCATTGTTTATTGCAGGAGTTCGACAGTACGATCTAAAATATATATTTTAAAATATATATATATTTTTTTATTATTTGTTTCTAAACATTATTTGACGTAAATAAAAAAAAAAAACAATAAATGTTTGTATGTGGCAGAAATGTCATTCCTAGCGGTCGTGTATATTTAAAATAATTATTATCCAACACAGGAGATCGGAAACCTAAACGACTCACCACTCGTCAAGCAAAATACAATCCCTCTTCAATCCAGTTACCATTAATTAAGCAGAGCCTTTTTGAGTGTCGCTCAAATATGCCGCACAAAGAACATTTCAGCGAAACTAGATTGTGAGATAGTAATAAAGCAAAGGTTTTAGAAACTCAGGGGTTCAAATGGCCAACAAACGCAATAGACAGTGGGCATAAAAATCAAACGTTAGAGCTCAACCTGAGGACTCAGTTGGCAATTGATATTCACCTTTTCATTAATTTTACCTTTAATTTTTTACGCAAAATCTACGTGTATCTATAACTGAGGTTCTTCTGGTAGCTGGCAGTATGGGATTAACGTATGTCCGCTACGACAAGCAGCATGCTGAAGTCCATTTCGATGGAGATGTCGTACTCTGTATACAAATGAGGCAAGATGATATATATATGGTGTTTAGGGTATTCGGTATTTAGGTATTGGCGTATTTATATATGGCGTATAAAATGGTATTTAGGGAATGGCGTAGAACTCGATAGATGAAACGAATTTTGTCAATCAGCGCTCTGCAAAATGTATATATATATATATACATTCATATAATTATATAATGGGCTAAAAGTTTCGGACAATTGGGGAGTCACTGTTTTGCGTTCATTGAAGTAGCAGGAGATACGCAGTTGATCACAATAGAAACGGATTTTACTGTACAGCAGCTTTAGTAAGACCACTATAATAACACTTTAGTAAAAATAAGGTGTAATATTAAGATGAGGTACATTAAAAATACAGTTGATCAGCGATTAACGATTTTATCCAATTGGCGAATAAGACCAGTTGAATGACCAGAATAGTCAATGGCATCAGAAGTTAACCATTCTATTTTAATACCCCCCCGAAATTGAAAGCTAAAGCGAGCTAATGTGATAGTATTTTTACTGGTACATTATCTCGGTCTGGAACGTTTCATACGCACCCGCACATGGACAACAATGTCGTTTAAGCGTCCTTTTAGGAACCGTTTGCATAAGCCTATCCATTTCAGGCAGTTCTGAGTCACGATCCTGCATAATTCAATATCGTATTCATCAGTCGTTTACCGTGTTCATCAAGGACTACGTAAAGGGACAGGATGTTCCATATATACTGTTGTCCATGCAACCCCACAGCTGCAAAATGTGTTGTAGAGTTCTCGTCGTTTAGCGCGACGTCAAGTTAAAATCGTCCGATCAGCATGCACAGTGTCCCATACCGCGACGACTTCGTCTTATTTCCCGGGCTGCAGTTTCTGTAATCTCACTTCAGTGTTATCTTAGTCGCCGGGAAGTATCGTCCGTAGTCTATACGAAGAAACAAGTGCTGCTTCAAATCGGTATCTCACGAACTGTGAACATGGTTATGTTTAGCGTAAGACAATCTGCCAACCATCGCTTGTTTGTAACTAGAGGGATAGAGGGACAAGAAGACTAGATACCCTATATCTATAGTACCGTAGATACTAACGCCATGACATTCCACTATGGTATCATACAAACTAGAAGGACGATATTGGGGTGGCCCGGATACAAATGTGTTCTATAGGTGAGTTCGTTATTTATTACGGTAATAAATTGGTGTATCTCCTGCTATTTTAACAACTCTGAAGTGAAAACTCGGACAAACTTTAGGCCCACTTTTCATACATATACATATATGTATATACATATAAAATACGGCACCGAGCTTGGGACACTCTTCCGTTGGCTGTCTGTAACATCCGTCTGCTTCGAGTTTTACGTCCGGTACCGCCACTAGACATTTCCTTAAGCAGCTGGCTCTCAGCAGGAAACGAACTGCCTTTACGCCTGCTTTCGAATCTAGATTGACGAGTATTTCTCAAATTTAGCAAACAACATGTTAGTCATTCTCCCATCATGGGCGGTTCAGTATTTGAGCTAGGACTAGTTATCTTTAATCTCTACATGTGGGCCGAGTCATCACAGAGAATATAAACCTCTTCCATCATCTCAAATCAACTGAGTACCGCATCGCTAATGGGTACGTGGTCGCAGAGGAAGTAAAACATGGTCTGACCAGAGCACATCCGAAAGTCCATTACAGAAAACACAAAAGGACAGTGGCAAATTTGGGGGTACTTTCTGCCGATAAAAATGGAATCGGGGCGTTAGTGAAGAGATATGATATGAGTGCGCATACGATATCACACATCATTCACGAAGATGTCAGGTAAACGTCAGAGGTAATAAAGGTCAGACAGATGCTCCCTGAGTATTATAAAACCAGGAGATTTAGATAATATTTTTTGCTATCTGGTGCTCTCAAGAATAAACGAATAGGTCGTTTAAAACCTTCTCCGACGAAAAGTCATCATCATCGATGTAAGCTTGAACCTTATAAATTATTGCTAACTTGCTTAACAAGCTAGAAGATATGAATTTTCGGCTATTTCATGTTCTGGGTGAGATATCTAGTGAAGGAAACGCCGTGCCACCATACTTGTTCCAGAAAGGCGAACGTATCACTAAGCAAATTTATCTGCATGCTTTATGAACAGCTGAGCAGCTGTAGATGGCCGAAGACTCCGAAAGAAGGCCATACGTGTTCCAACAAGATGGTAGACTGGCTTATAAAGATCGATTAGTGCGGGATCGGCTGACTAAGAACCCAAAGTATCCTGGGATGGACGCATATGGTCGTCTAGTAGACCGAATTTGAGTCTATTGGATTACCGTGGAGCGTTATTAAGCGAGATTGAATCTGGGTCGATATGGCAATGTTGACTTGTTTATTCGTATCTTTATTATCCGGGTGTTCGCAGAATTTGAAGGGGATATTTGAAATGTTTTTATATAATGTTTAGGCCCGAATTAAAGCTGTGGTAAATGATGGAAATGAGATATCTGTCATACGTAAATTCGCTGCATCTTCTATTTTTGTTAAGGTACAGTGTTACAGAAAGTTTTCATTTAGATATCGTATCCGATGAAGCAAGCCCTTTTGAGCTCAGTTTAATAGGCTGTCCTAGAGTGTAATGAAAGCTGAGCATTCTGAACTAGTCAACTAGAGTGATTGATTCAGATGCAATACAACCTTAACAATAGAAGACCGTTTGATCATTAACTGACACCTAGTGATTTTCTTCCGAATAATTTGGTTCTTAATACGAATTCCATTTGCACTTGTATAGAACCGGTGTTAAAAACCGAAATATATATATATATATATATTTTACTAGAGAATCTGAAGCTGGCTTAGATATGTTAATGGTTAGTCAAAAAAGTATTTCTGCTGAAGTTTTTTTCTAAAAAACGTCACTTGTAAAGCTCGTGAAGTAGTGAATGATTATCGCGTTATAATTTCCAGCCAGCCCGTACTAGTTGTGACCTTTAAGAACTAAGAACTTTTAAGAACACTTGCCTGCTGTATACCTGCAAACATTAATTATGATATTAACAATTAGCTACGGATTTGTCAGTCGATTACGGATATCAGTAAACAGCACAAACTGCAAATTCTGCATAATTTGGCTTCACAAAAAAAGAAAAGCTCACTCTTGTATCTATTACGAGTTTTTTCTGCCACTAGTAGACATACAAGCTTCGCATATAATACTACCGATATTTAACTAATTCCATTAAAATAAGTTACGTCCATTATGACATGAACCAGAATGTCAATGACAACGGATTTTACGGTAAAATTATTGTTTGGGTCAAACCCAATTTCGTGATATAGTTAGTTACCTCGTCGATCACTCTAACTAATAACTTTAAAAGAATGGTTGGGAGCGAAAGATACTTCTTTTCTCGGAGTGAAGGCCTAAACGTCCACAAATGGCTGGAGAATAAAATGGTTGCAAATAATTCAATAATCGAATTGTTTTTGACAGATCTGTAGTGTGAGAATGTAGGGCAGTTAGCGGTGCTCGCGTCGAAGTAAAGACTAGAGACCCCTTTGCAGCTCCGATTGTTCAGCGCGAAACCCGTGCTATCCCATAAGCCCGGCCGTGTCCTGCCGCACTGAAATTAGTTAGATCTAATTCTATCATCTATCTAAGATTTGAATGACCTCTCATCAAGAAGGTTCGTACTAGAGCGGCAGTCGAAGCATACTAACGCCACAAGGTGTCGTCTCCCATGAAATTCTATCATCGTCGAAGTCAGTACATGTTCACAGTTTAGAGAAGTAATATAACAAAAGCGGCAGTATAAGATAAAATATACGTGTGTATCGAGTACGTACTGAGAAATCAACCGGGTAACGTTTAACGAAACCTCTCGTACGTGAGATCCTCGGGCTCCGTTGCGATTGTTAAGCACCGCTTGCCGTGCAAGTTCTTCACATAACAATTACTTCGATATGCCACCTATGGCTTGTAATGTTTTTTAAATTTACTCTTTACAAAAATGTTATTACTAATTAGAAAAATAATTGGCAATATATCATTAAAATTACTGCCATGATTTGAGGCCACATCGTTACTTTAAGCATGAGGTCCTTCTGCAGGAATTTTTAGAATTTTCAGCAGTAGAGAATTGGAATATTATTTTGACAGTGTCTCTCGCTACAATAATTCCAAGATTGTGTGAAACTTATTTTTTTTCTATAACGCAACTTTCTGTCTAATAAACGCAATGTACAAAATCAGAAAACTTTTTACTCCTAAAAAAAGGCCTGCCCCACAAAAGCTTTTTTCGTATTTCTCCAGCTTTGTGATGTGATATTAGGCTACAAAACGAAAGTATCAGTTGCCTTCGCCGAAATGATTTTATCCTGCCAAATTATCGGGGCAATTTCGTTCTTTTCGCATAGTTGGTTCGCTCACTTGCTGAACACAACTTAGACTAACTTAGAGTTAAGGTTCCCAACTTGATGACGACGGGATCAACATAAAGTTCCCTTTGGGGTTTTTGGCTGGAGCAAAAGGTCAATAAAATGAATAATCCTATCATGAAAAGTAATAAATAGGTAATGGGTATACTAGACCGCATATCTTGTGGCGCCACTTTATCTACGTACTACACTGGGTCCTGATGAGCTATACGAAACAGGACCCGGTTTCTAAGCGTGGCCAGTTTTAGGTTTTCGCTTCGCTTCTGCCTCTGAAATCTAACTTACACACGTTCATCAAGTACGTTATAGCTCTGTTGATCTTTGCAGTCTGGCAGCTTCGAAGCATCTGATTATTATCGATATCCATTTTAGCTTATGATGGCTGTGTTCGCTCAGAAAATTGACCGTCTCGGTCAACTTTCACCGTTAACAGTTTAGTTCGGTTTATTCTTTTGTTACTTCTTGTTGTTGTCCATAGCCCATAGTCATTTCGGCAATGATGATTCTAATGGTCACTATTTTATATTTTTATTGTTCCCATAGTTAATTAGCACCCCTAGTGTTTTCATTCATAGCGCCGTGAAAACTGCCTACAGCGCAGATACGTAGCGTGTAGTAATTTGTGTGTCATCTTGTAGTGCTCGCATTACGACGCACTATGTACTAGTAACGGTAGTGTACGTATGTATGTATTTATGTAGCTCCATTTGCCTTCTTTGTGTAGGCCAACACAAGGCCAGCGTTGAATGGAGCCCCAGGTTCACTATATAGTGGGGTTCTCTCTTAAAGGACTTCGCAGTGCTATGGCGTGAATAAGCCGTACGCGCCGGTGGCTGGGCGCCCCGTGTTGTAAGCAAGAGTGGGCCAGGGAAAGGGTCTCTAGTGACCTGATTGACTGGCTGGCCGGCTCGCTGACTGGCTGGATAAATGATTGGATGCTTTGCCCCTTGGTTGACACACAATCGGCAGCCCTCCGCAGTTCCTGCTGCACATAACATCATGTAAAAGACACCCCTTCTTTCGACAAGACCACAGCGTATCAAGCCAATTTCGCTGTGCGATCCCAATCTATTTGGCAGGCTGATGTAACTTGCCGGTAGACGGGAGATCTTATCGCCCACATTGAAATGAATAGTAGCACTACAATGTCCTAAGAGAGCTAGCAGGACGAGCTGGTGGAACTGAGGTAGTTAATTCTATAGGAAGGTGGTAATAGGTTTGACGTACCTTTTGTAAATGATACAGGCTTTCCTATGATGCCGATGCCTATGAGATGAATGACGCGCAAACTGGATATCGGAGAGTGATTTTTACGGTATAACAAGAACACATCAATTCTGCGGTGCGGAGCATCCTAACAAAGCGATAGAGGATCTTTTCCTGTTTTCTGGTACTCACTGTTCATACCACAACCAATGAATCTGTACTTCGACCGATTGTTTGCAAGCTGCAGGGTGGCTGAAAAATCGTGGCAGTCGGACTGCGCATCCCCTAAACGTATCTTTTATCGTTTACTATGAACTTATCGTTGTCTCCAAGTAGTTGAAGCACATGAATGAGGCTGAACGAGCGTCAATTGAGGCGGCCGATAAAGAAATGAGGGGAACCAGGACGTAACACATAGTGCGTGGCTGTCAACAACAGCCTGGTGTTTAGCCCGCTCAAATGAGGATATATCAGTGTACACGCAAAAAGTGGTACTACGATAAATAAAAGTTGCCGCAAAAGGATTATGGTGAATAGTTGTGAAATCAAGTTGGATCAAGCAGAAAATATACATAGAATACATATTGATAATTAGTAAGTGCAACAATCAGGCAAAAATCAGGTAGTAAAAGAAGTATCTCGAATACCGTTTCGATAACTGGCTAAATCTGTGCGGTTTCAAACAGTCGAACGGGATTTAATGAAGAAAAGTGGTTACAATCCATTAGAAACTTGATTACAAGTGAAACCTGGATTGACTCAAGTTTAGCGGGACGGACAAACGATCAACGAGCAATTTATTAGAATGATGGCACGCAAAAAATATTCGTCATATTATACAAAGCTGGTTCTGATTTTGATACTCGCAGTATCGGTGGGATTGGCTTCAAATATCGTCCGACGAAGTGGGCCAAAAATCATCGATCTGACTCATTGGTGGGATCAGAAGACATTGTTCCCACCTACAAACATAAAAAATTTTACGATGAACACATACTTCCGTAAGACGGCCACTGGAGTCATGTAAGTTCGACGATCGTATCCATATTATTCACTACTCAAGCACTATCTATCATAGACTAACGAAAAGGAAAAAAAAAGATGTACATATACAGAGAGAGAGAAACAGGGACCACGACGAAAGAGTAGCAATCACGCACTGGCCTCTATTAAAAAAAGATCCTGCATTGTTTTCGCCTTTAGAACGTGCGGACGGGTATCCACACTAGAAAATACGCTCGTTCAACGTATCGGGGAAGAACGCGATCGGATAATTGAGGAACAAGGGCAATATAAGTTTTTCTACTATTATTAGCTAGCTTTTTGTTGCTATAAACAATCAGTTATTATTCGCAATTGTTGAATAGGGATCTGAAATATAATTGACCCTTTATTCAAGCAACAAATAGCCGAAAGAAATCATTTACCAGTATATTAAACTTCCAGTAGTGTACCGACGTAAAGCGTACTTTATCCAAATACACATTCTATATATTTCTTAACGTGTTAAAACGTTTACTTAAAGTTACAAGTTTAGCATGACAAGTGACACAGTTAGTGATACAGTCGGATTACGTACACCGAATTGCTAGTCAGTGTGTAGCTCAGCGAGAGATGAACGAAAATTCGCTGACTCATTGGTTTAACCATCGTGGCTTACGCATACACTTCATGATGAAGTCACGTTGAAAATACGTACACATACTAGCTTCGTGTATTTATTCGAATTAAGCGACCTTAGCGTCATTTACATGTCCTTATACGCAAGCCTAAAAAACTGAGTGCAAAACCATATAATTGTGGTGGCATTAAATGCTGAACGAAATAGTTATTGTTATTTTTGCTTGTTGTAAGTTGTCATTATTATGTGGTTATGGTTTATGCCGTTTGCGTAGATGAAAAAGCAACGTTCCCCTCTATTGGAGATTAGAGGCTCGATCTGCCACGTCTGCCACACCTGTCGGTCAGCGCCAGCACCTCATCCTACAATTTGAAGATAATGAACGAACGTGATTTCGTTCTCAATAAGGCGTGTAATGTTTATCTATGGTTTATTCGCCTATCACAGTAGACAAGTGCAGCTGAAGACCAAGGCTGATCAAGGTCATGTAGCGGCAAGAAGACTATAAGTCGTATTATTATATAGAGAGCGTTTTTTGCGTGTACATGATATATTGGTTATGCGCACGCGGCCAGACAGGGAAAACGATGAGTTGCGCGCTGCATGTTGAGGCGTATGTCCGCAGAAGATGCATCTATCCATTCTTATTCGATAGACGTGTGTACGAATATAATATTTGTAACTACACAAGCGGGAAAAACCTTATATCCTTTTCACCTAACTTGCATCTCGCCTCCCAACGAGATAAGTTTATGTTTTCACCGAAAAGAAGGAAAACGGCTCTATGATATGTTTGCTACATCTGTTAATATAAAAAAATATTCTTGACAATATGACTACGGACGTTTATATGCCAGATAGGTCAGGAATCGAATTGTGCATGCTCACCCTCGAGGTGCTTTATCAAACTTCGATGTCCCTAGCACGTTAGGCAGTGTTACCTGTATTGCAAATGGTTGATAGTTCTTTTTGAAGTGCAAAGAACTGGGTTGTTCGAAGCGAAAAAGGGTGGAACCGATAATTACGATTATGTGTAAAGTAAATGATGGATGATGTTATATCGGACTGCCGATAGTCTACTGATCTATTTCGTTTATGATACTACCTTCTATTGTATGCTTAGTTCAGCGTCTTTGTTGGAATACAGGTAACAAGGTCGAATCAAGTTATCGTAATTTAGTCAAAAAGACCTGATCGCTTCATTCTTCGAAGCTTCTGTTCTCAAGTGAATAGATACATAGATATTTCAGTACAGTAAAAAAAAGTCTCGGTGCAACGCTGAATTGTATATTTTAGCCGTTTATTATAGAATGATCTATCTTAGTCACTTTTTCTTTGGGTTACATATGCAGGTAGCTTTTGTCATAGCCCTAGATCGACATGCGATATTGCAAGAACTAGATCCTCTTATTGATTGAAATTATGATGAATGGCTAATAAATGCACTTACCTATATGAGTGTATCGAGTTCGCGGAATGATATATGTGATAACAGAGGTTCGTGCTATGACAAATGTTCTTTTTTTTTTTTATCTATGGAAAAATTTATAGAGAAATATGTAAACGTTCTTTTAAAACGTAAGACATATGATCATAAAGTATTGCCGTTATCAATATTGTCATGTCATTGCTGCTAGACGAGACGCTAGTTACCTTCAAAAAAGGATTACGGCGACTTTGGTTTCACAAAAGGAATATACGGAAATCTCATACAATAGCCTGCCGATCACTGACTGCTATGGGCCAGTTGTCAATAGCAGACTAACAACGTCTAGTCGTGCAATGTTTTTTAACTTCCTTTTTTTAATTATCGGCCTGTCCTAATTTAATTTTCAAACTTTGCTGCAAGCGGGAAATAGCGTATCCTGCACCCAACCTAGCTTACTAGGATATTTATCGTGTACGTTTTTTTGTGCAAACGACGTGCGAAGAAACATGAACGCTTACAGTCAATTTTTCTTGCTCAATATGTGCGTACGTTGATTAACAACTGTGTAATGACATATCATAGTTACGACCAGCATCTGTTGTCACACTTTTTTGCTGTCTGTTTCGATGAAAAGTAGAAAAGTTCAACTAAACTGATCTAAATAGCTAATCTATTATATCTGCGTTCAGCTTTGAAATAGCCTCGCCTTTATTATCGCGTAAAAACGTAGATCAAATCGTTTCGCTTGAAACAATAGCGACCTACACGAGCGTTGCGCTGATCGCTTCTTCCATCATCACGATTTGACGCTGAACACAGGAGTAACCCTGAAAGTGGCGGCCTTGCCGCAGGCCAGCAGTCCCTAGACATAGAGCTAGCAAAATAGAAGCAACAGCTACGACAGCACTATTTTTTGTCAACATTATCGCCAGTAACAACGACAATGAACACTGGACTCCCTTCCAAAAACCATGACCGCCAGCGACACCAGCGGAGAGGATACCAGTAGGCTAGCAAATGGTAGGGAATTGCTTTGAAGATATCGTCGTTACTGCAGTTGTTGTTGTTGTTGTACTTCGTCGTTTCGTGAGGATGTTGATCTTCAGAGACACATAGCCCGCCCGTTTATGTGTCTGTGCCGTTGGGCGCTAGTAAGTAATATAAGCCAACGGTTATTCTATTCTTGCAGTTCCTATATCATGGATCGGCCATTACTGTTATTACTGTGTGTGGAGGCTCGCACTGTTGTATGTAAACGACTTTACCTAATAACAAGCCTAAGTTTTTGTAATTACCTTTGTAACGACACTTCTGCGACTAATAATAGTTTTGGCGGTTGTTGTAACGCGGTTGATGAATGTACCACTTGGGCACCTGCGTTGCATGCTTCTGTTGCACCCGCCTTAATATTTCTATTGGTATTTTTAGGGTTAGTGATTCTGATCGAGCACAAGGTAGCAGAAGTCTTATTGTTAGCGAAAAGGGGCAAATAGGCGAGCGAATCATGACTGAGTGCTTTGGCTTGGTCCAGAATATTGGTATAGCGATGCCCTTGCTGATTATAAAATCGCAGTAATTACTCGCAGAATGATAGCGTACTTGCAAACGAATAATTAGTGGGATTTAGCCAAAGCATCGTTCTGTTACTTCATTACCTATTGTATACTATGGGACAAAATCGGATGGACTAACTCCTTACGATAACTGATAGTACGATTTGATACATAATAGACCGTCTTTCTAGTGTGGTGCCGGTAATTGTGAGTGAGTATAGGCGTTGATAGGCCAAACGTAGTTTATTATGAAACGTTATAAACAATTATGATGATTGGCTAGTATTTTATTTTGCGGGGAGGATCTGAATCTCGCCTGAAAATTTACGTATATACCCGTGTACGTGTACGTGTACGTCTATACTCTAGTGTCGATATATATCGAAAAACGAGTAAATTACCGCGACAGACAGCTGAGTAATGCTCTGAGGTGAGTTATTATAATAGAGCCTTAGTTAACAAATCGCCACCCTTAAGCGCGGCGACAGTCAGTGCCGATTATACAGATGCCTAATATAAGTACCTCGTTTGTTCAAACGCATAGTACCCGTGAACAAATATTCTGAAAATTGAACATTGCCTGTTTATAGCTCGTCGTATGAAGAACGCCGAATATAAGTTACGCTCACTGAAGTCGTCGAAGGAACAAACATAATTATCGTATGCTCATTTTATAGACGAGATTTTTCGCAATTTCATTTAATTTACTTTTATAGAAATTCCGAAGCCAATGAGCCCCCTTGAAGTAAAAAAAAAGCACCTATGTAGCATCATGATGGTTCATTCATTTGATTTTCGTCCCGTTGTGCTATATTCTTGTTATTATAGTATGACGCTCAGAGCTATACTATAATTCACGAACTCGCTACACGTTTCGCTTCTAACATTTGACCCTGTCAAATTCGTTTACGTTGAAGAGTTGTTGTCAAAATTGAATTGGATATTTAGGCATCTACGATGAGTTCCATGAAACCTGACAATATCAATTGTTCAAGAATGGACATCGTGGCTAGATAATTTGATTGATGAAGAGGAGATTATACCCAACGCGTTTCCTATACTTCTACAGTTGAATCTTTGGGCATTTTGGGCTAGCATATAGTTATACCAATTTACGCATCACTACGAATTTCTGAACTGAGTACATCGAATCTTACAGCTTAATGGCATAAAGCGTAAGCTTCTTATCACTAGTAAGTTCGGGGTAATCATGCACCAACTTCAGGGTATCTACTTGTGTAATTATATTCGTCTTTCTTAATCAGAAGAGAGATAGTTTTGCCCCGTTTTCCATATATCATTCACAGTCAGACATAGTTAAAATCGATTCGTGTTTTGGCGAAACGTCTATATTGGCTCTTGTATTGAATTAATGTTTAATCTTTCAAGGACATCGATCGAACTGGTCTCAATTTTGCCG